AGTTTGGGGCAAAAATCCAAAATTGGCAATCCTATGCATACCTATATATCCTATCCCCCAATAAAAACTGTAATGTACATAGCCATTAGAGCTTGTAATTTTACTGCATGCAATATTCTTTTTTTTCTAAAATAATATAATTATTGTTGTTGATAATAACATCTTATCCTCTTCTAGGGATTAAAAACTTTTCTCAGGACTTTGTTTTCACAGCAGATAGGTGTGACAGGATTTGCTTTTCCAGATGCATTGAGGAGGAAGCCAAGGCTTGTCTATAAGCAGGCTAAATAGGTTTGCTTTGGTCACCCAGGGCACTTTCCAGGATACTGCATTAGTTTTACCCCTAGGAATCTCCTCTTGGTAAAATAAATTGCGTGGACATTGGCATGTCCCTTTATATGTTTCATATGCTCCTTTTTTTTTGAATCTTCATGTCAAACTCCTTAAGCATACACTTGTTTTGCAGTTTGAAATGAAAATGATTAAAATAGAGACCTACGTTTTAAAGAAGTGGCTTTCTTTGCTGCATTGTAATTGTTTTGTATAGCTCAGATATCAAAGCATTTCTACCAACAAGACCAAACTAAGAGTAATGATTTTAAGCCTTACGGAAACCTAAATCAAGGGAACAGAGATGAGCATCTAGAGAAACACAATTGTTCTTTAAATACTTGAATTGCTGTTCATAACAAGACTCAAGAGTGAACAGGGAATGGATAATTTAGAAATAGGTATTTTTTAATGGAATGATGGGAATATTTATAGCCATACTGAGAAATTGTGAAGCAGAGGACAGGCATGCATTCAGTGATGCTTTTGATGGGTTTGTTCTGTAGCAAATTTCAATCCAACTGCAGAACGTTGATGTTTTTTTGGGGGGAAACCATTTTCCTTCTTACAGTGCCTCTATTTACACTTGTGGCTGGTTAGTGAAACGTAGTTATCAAACCACCTGTGGGAGAAGCCAATCTGTCCAGAAACCACTTTTCTTAGAAGTCTTTTGGGGGCAAACCTACACAGGTGCGACTGGAGTTGTGAACAGAATAGGGCTGGATCCCTCTGTGAATGAGAGGCCTTGCTGATAAGGTCAAGTTTGCAGGTAGGCTTCCTCTGTGGGCTACTCAGTTCCATTATGTCCCCAACCTGGCCATAGCGTGCTCCCTTGTCACCTGCATCACAGATCTATTCATTCACCTATTTGCCAAATATATCTGGAGTGTCAAAGTGCATAGGGCTCTGAACGTGTGGCATGTATTACAAACTCCTTCTCATGACAGAAATGTGAGTTTTACTGGTGACTTCTGATGGCACCATCTTTGATCCCTGGAATGGCCCTTGGCAAATTGAGTTTTATGTGAGCCTTCTCCTCTTCCTGCCTTTTTGTGACCCTCTCATGCTTTCTCTCTTTTTTTTAACATCTTTATTGGAGTATAATTGCTTTACAATGGTGTGTTAGTTTCTGCTTTATAACAAAGTGAATCAGTTATACATATACATATGTTCCCATATCTCTTTCCCTTTGCTTTCTCTTAACCTTCCCTCTTAACCTCAAGGTTTCAATCCCATCATGTTCCCTTGCCACCTGAGTTTCCAGGCCTCTTACCTCAGTAGGCCCTTTTTAGTTGTTTCATCAGTCCCAAGTCTAAAGATAAATGCACCACATTGTAGTACTTCATCCCATCTTGCCTCTCTCTCTGTTGGTTTTCCTAGGAATAGCAATCCATTAAAAACAAATCATACCACCTTGCTGGAATCTAGTAGTGGTCCTATACTCTCTAGATATAAGGCTACAAGGCCTTTACTCATGGGAATGGATTTCCCATGAGTAAAGTTCAGCATGGGAAAATATTCGGTGTCAGATGGGCCTTCATGGATCATACACTTTGTCTACTTTTTTTGGGAAAATCGCCTGAGGTCTCTTGAGATATGTTATATTGTAACCTGTATTGTGAGTACAGTCGCCCCCAACCCTGCCCGTATTCGCAGGTTCTACATCCTTGGATTCAACCAACCGTGGATGGAAAATATTTTTTAAATTTGCAGAAAGTTCCACAAAGAAAAACTTGAATTTGCTTCACACTGGCAACTTTTACATTGATTTACAACTACATCACATTTACATTGTATTAGCTATTATAAGTAATCTAGAGATGATTTGAAGTATATCAGAAGGTATATGTGGGTTATATGCTACTACTAAGTCATTTTATATAAGGCACTTGAGCATTCACAGGTGTTAATATCCATGGGGGTCCTGAAACCAATCCCCTGCAGATACTGAGGTATGACTATACTAAGAGAAAAGAATAAAGGAATAACGTTTGGAATTTGTTGTCCTTATTATTGAATATCTATTCTCTGTCTATTGACTATAACTAAAGATTCCCTCTCTGCTACCTAAAGCAAGGGAACAGAAGAAAAGGAACCATAAATTTATTAAGTCAAATACATTTTGCTCAGCTAGTACTTAGAAGGAAATGAATTCTCAGTGTACTCGCAAGGTCCGTATGACAAAGCTAGTTGTAATGGCAGTTAAATGTCTTCAACTGCCTTTGAACATGATGGTTGTGTCCCAGGAGCAGATTTTTGATTATTTTCTATACCAGCCATGTCCTGTCACTAATGGGACAAACCAGCCTGTTAAACATTGTACAGGTGTAGATTATGCAACAGATTGTTTAGAGGAAGTAACTAAAGGGATTTAGTGTGCAAATGAAAAAAAATTCCAGATTTTTTTTTCTAACAAGTAGGTAGTTATAGAGGTTTGAAACTACTTCACCAAGACAAATTTGTTAATTCAGAAACACTTGCTGTGCATCTTAGGGTTGGAGAAAACAAAAACTGGAATATTAAGGAGTTTAAAAAAAATTTATCCCCATATTTTCTTTCTATTAACAAACTTTTAAAATAAAGCTATGAGAAAAAATATATTCTCAAAAAAAAACAGTTTCCTCTCAGTTGTGTTAATGCATGGGAACAGTATCACAAATAATCCTTAAAAAGGAATAATATAAAATTAATTTAAAGATGATAAAACAATAAATATTAAAATTGCATTTAATACAGAGATGTATCATCAGTAATTTACCATGACCCAGAAAGTTTAACGAATGCAGATTTCCCCCTCTCTGTTCTTGACAGTTGTGAGAATGACAAATGACAGGTAAACAACTGATACTTGGGAGTGAATAAAAAAGCCCCCCAAGAGATAGCCAGATATCAGTACGTACTTAGTCCAATTCAGTTGTACCTTCTTGACTTCAGCAGTGCACAATGGTCATCAAAATTCATAGTGATGAATCTGGTGCCCTGTGAGTACTCAAAGTTCAAATGCCCTTCATTATAAATTTAGGATGAGTTATTTATTTGGTTATTGATTTATTTCTAATGAATACTTCACATACTATAAGAGGATTTGAGGCAACTTATAATAAAAGCTCCTATGCAGCAAGGCAGTGAAAAATGAAGTCACAAAGAGACATCAGAAACCACAGAGTTCAAAAACTTTCTTGGGCCATAGACCCCTTTGAAGATCTGATAAAGAGCTGTGGAACATCTCTTCAGAAAAGTATAGCTATGCAAATAGGCACAACCTTGAAGTCTATCCAGGCACTCTGCCCCTGGGTGTCCTTGAACCCCAGGTCAAGAACCCCTTATGTAGAGAAAGCAAAATCCTGAGGTAAGATAGTTATTTCACTTGAGCATTGCATTTAGCTCTGAGCTTCCTGTCAACTGAGGTTAAAAGATAAACACACTGGGTTGCAGAGTTCTCAACATCTAAAAAAGGAAGCAGATCAGTTCACAAAATGATAAGCGAAACATATAATTTTAAAATGACAGTGTTTATAGAGTTTATGAAAGGATTATTTTATAAAGGGTAATCAAGTAATATAATGTAGCACAATTTGATGAAATTCTTTGAAAATCAGCAATTGGAGGTAGAATAACTATGCTAATTGTATTGATTAGCATATAAAATTAGCATATAAAATTAGCCACAGTGTCTCATTTCCAACCCTTCTGGAAAAGAGAGAATTTATTGTATATGTCTTTCTTTAATGGTAGATTTACCCACCTAATATTATTTGATTAAACCTGACATTAATATAATATATTCCCATGAGCGTACACCAGCTGAGCAGCAAGGGAGATCTAAGGGTATAAAAAGAAACTGAAGTGTGATTAAATATCTGCTATTAGTAGGTCATACCATGGAAAACTGTCATGTAGATAATGGCAAATAATCATTTTAGGTATCCACTGCTTCCAACCCAGGCATCTACTTTCTCAAAGGCAAATAAATAAAACAATGGTTCCTGTCACAATTACAGGCAGAGGCAGTATAGGATAGTGGTTAAGAACAGAGTCTTGGGAATCAGAGACTGGTTTTCCACCACTTATTAGCTCTGTGTCCATAGGCAAAGTTGCTGAACTTTTCTGAGTCTCAGTTTTCTCATCTATAACATAAGAATAATAAAAGGGTCAATCTCAGGACTGCTCCTAGGCTCTATATGGGTCCTAAGGAAATCTTTGTTTTGTGGGGCTCCTGTCTATATAAACAATTTGAGTCGCCAAAAATCAACATGTCAGTGTCATTGTAGCCATCCAATCTCACAAAATTCTATTAAGCGGATGCCTCGTGATTGGCAGGAGTGATCCACTGGAATTGATATCTATCTGTGGGGCCCCAGGAAAACCCCATAGGTGTGAGTGCTGGAACTCCTTGGAAGATCTAGTCAACCCAAAGTTTACTGCAGAGGACTGGAAATACCCCAAAGGCACAGGGCTAGGGCAGGAATCCTGCTTGCCCAGGTCTAAGGAGGATACTGATCTATCTCATAGGATCACTGGGAAGACTGAATGAGGTAATCTATGTAAAGCATGTGACTCAGTGTCTAGCTCATAGCAAGTCCTCAGTACGTGTTGGCAATAATTGTTGCTCTTCTCATTATTGTCAACAATGCTCACTGCATCTCATGCCCAATCTGGTTTTCTTTCAGTGGATGGCTGCATTGACTGGTCAGTGGATCTCAAGACATATATGGCTTTGGCAGGTGAACCAGTCCGAGTGAAATGTGCCCTTTTCTACAGTTACATTCGTACCAACTATAGCATGGCCCAGAGCACTGGGCTCAGGCTGATGTGGTACAAAAACAAAGGTGATTTGGAAGAGCCCATCATCTTTTCAGAGGTCAGGATGAGCAAAGAGGAAGATTCAATATGGTTTCACTCAGCTGAGGCGCAAGACAGTGGATTCTACACTTGTGTTTTAAGGTAAGTGCTGTGTGAAAACTGCTCAATGTCACGGGTGGTAGTCTTGCTTTGGGACTGGAGTGTGTATGGGTGTGCCTCATGTTATACAGTGGATATATTCTTGAAAGGCTGCAGTGCATGTGGAGCTTCAATAAATTCAATTCTAATTATTTATGGGAAAACTATAGCAAGTTCTTATCACATTTTCATAAGATTCCCATTTACTATGTATTCTCATTTAATTCAGAAAATTTTGTGATTCATTTATTTACCAACTCCACCCCTGCCCCAGGGTCTTATATAGATGGTCCCTGACTTAATTATGGTTGGACTTAGAATTTTGCAACTTTACAATGGTGCAAAAGTGACACACATTCAGTAGAAACCTCACTTTGGATTTTGAACTTTTTCCAGGCTAGCAATATGCGGTATGATATTATCTCATAATGCTGGGCAGTGGCAGGCAGTAAGCTGCAGCTCCCAGTCAGCCAAGTGATCATGAGGTAAACAACTGATACACTTAAAATCACTCTGTCCCCATACAACCATTCCATTTCTCACTTTTAGTACAGTATTCAATCAATTACATGAAATATGCATACTTCATTATAAAATAGACTTTGAATTAGATAATTTTGCCCAACTGCAGGCTAATGTAAGTGTTCTGACCACATTTAAGGTAGGCTAGGCTAAGCTATGATGTTCGGTAGGTTAGGTGTATTAAATGCATTTTTGACTTAAGATATTTTCAGCTTACTATGGGTTTATTGGGACATAACCCCAATTGTTAGTACAGGAAGATCTGTATTAAAAATTGTTTTCGCATATCTGGCTATGAAAATGACCTAAAGTATCATTTAGGTCAGGGTCTTTCCTTTCTTATTGATGGAAAATAGCTTCAAATGCTTCTGGTGAAATTCTTCATGGGATTTACAATGTGAATTTGAGGCTACTGTATCTAAATATTCAACATGGGACCCTATAAGCACATGGTCATCCTGTGTTCCTATATACTATTCTGGGAAGATACCACAGACACAGTTCCTACTTGCAAGAAGTTTACAGTGAAAAGTAGTCTGTTTTATCCCCAGTGATTCCACAGTATGTCCTTCCTCCCCCCTCCATCCCAGTGTCAGGATCTCAAATCTCAGATAGAGACTGCATTAGGTGTTGAAGTAAGTAGCTGAGGTGACCTTTAAACCACTCTTCAGTACTGCCATTTTAGAAGTGTCTGATCTTGCTCACCAGGAACCTGCACTCTACTGTTTGATTTTACCTTCTTGGAAATGCAGACCCTTCCATTTTTGTTTCCTGTGGACTTTGTCTGATGCCAAAGCTATGTCACCTCTTCATCAAGAGCACTTGGAAGCCCCTGGTGTGGCCTCATTGTTCAAAAGGGCAGGAGAACAAGGTGGTATATAAATAGAGAACCTTCTTGATGCTCTAAGAATCACTTTTGTATGTATATTGGGAGGAAGTGTTGGGGGAGCAAGTTTAGTCTCTTTGCGGTGGGCAAAAGCCCCAGGATATTGGCAAAAATAGCAATCATTCTGATCACACCCTTAGCAATAGTCAGTATTTTCACCTCCTTGGACAGCTCTTGGCAGAAATGAGAAGTGGGTGTAATTCGGTTCCACTGTCTGACACTCTGTTCTTTACAGTGCTGCTACTCTCTCCCTGCTTACACCCTCTTCATTCCCACCTTCACTAAATCCTGCCAATCTAAAATAGATCTCTTTTCCTCCCCCTATTCCATTTGCTCTGTTTGTTTTGTTTTCACAAATTTAAAATTTTATTTGTAGAGCATCAGCCTACTATATACAGGTGCTATACTTATAATGAATTATTGAATTAATTACTGCTTACTTCCCCTGCCCTGCTTATTTCCCCAGTCTGGCTATCTCTCCTTTCTTCCTTCCTCTCCTCTCACCCATTCCCCTACCCTGAGAAATGCTAACAATATAGTGTGTATCCTTGCATACCTTCCCCTTATTCTTTTAATTATACAAGCATATCTACATGCGGATTTCTCCTCACTGTTTTACAAAATAAAAAGAGAGTTACATATTTCCATGCATTTTCTCTCCTTATTAAAAATACATAGTGGAAATATTTACAAGTCAATTGATAGAGAGCTCACTCATCCTTTTAAGTACATAATATTCGGTGTTGTTTAATAGTCTATGATACCACAATTTAGTCAATCATTTCATTATTGATGTGCATATACTTTGTTTCCAGTGCTTTTGTCCCTATAAAAAGTGCTGCAATTAAAACTCCCAATTTGCTTTTAAATACACTTCTAAATTTTAGAACAGTTTTAGATTTACAGAATTATTGCAAAGATAGTACAGAAAGTTCCTGTATACCCTACACCCATATTCCCCTACTATTAACATTTTCCATGACTGTGATACACTTGTTACAACTAATGAACCAATAGTGATACATCATTATTAACTAAAGTCCACATTTTATTCAGCCTTCCTCAGATTTTCCTTAATGCCCTTTTTCTGTTCCAGGATTCCATCTGGGATACCCCACCTTGCATTTGATCTTCGTGTCTCCTTAAGCTCCTTTTGGCCGTGGTGGTTTCTCAGACTCTCCTTGTTTCTGATGACCTTGACAGTTTGAGTAGTACTATTCAGATATTTTGTAGAATGTCCCTCAATTGAGATTTTTTTTTTCATGTTTATACTGGGGTTATGTGTTTTGGGGAGAAAGAACACAGAGATACAATACTATTTTCATCACATCATAACAAGGATGTGGAGTATCAGTATGCTTTTCCATTGTTGATATTGATCAGCTGGCTCAAGATAGTATTTGTCTTTCTCCACTATAAAGTTGTTCTTTCTTCACTCCCTTTTCAAATTGCCCTCTTTGGAAGAAAGTAGTTATTCACAGTCCATACATAAGGAGTGGTAGTTATGCTCCACTTCATTAAGACCAAAGTATCTACATAAAATTATTTAGAATTCTTCTGCATGAGATATTTGGTTTTTTCTCCCATTTATTTATTTATTCAATCATTTATTTATATCACAATGGACTCATGGATATTTATATTATACATTGGGTAATAATCCAATGCAATTGTATTTTCTGGGTCAAATTTATCCACCTTTGACCACTGGGAGCTCTTTCAGTTGGTACATCTGTTCCTCTGACATAATCTCCTCATTGTTTTATGTTGTTGTCTGTTTGTTTGTTTAGTATTTTCTTATATTTCAGCACTCTAAGATGTTCCAGGCTTATCTTTTTATTTTATTTTTTTGCGGTAAAGGGGCCTCTCACTGTTGTGGTCTCTCCCGTTGCGGAGCACAGGCTCCGGACGCGCAGGCTCAGCGGCCATGGCTCACGGGCCCAGCTGCTCCACGGCTTGTGGGATCTTCCCGGACCGGGGCACGAACCCGTGTCCCCTGCATCGGCAGGCAGACTCTCAACAACTGCGCCACCAGGGAAGCCCCAGGCTTATCTTATATATTCCCTGCCCCCAGTCCTAGAGTCAGCCATTTTCCCAAGGACCCTTGATTCCTTTTAATGAAGAATGATATTAGGCACCAAGATTTGGGTGCTAGGTGTGCTCTTTGCTACTGGGGAATTGTTGCTTCTAGGCCCGCTCAGCTGACAGCCTATTGTGCTTTTAAACAAAGCCTTGTAATACCTCATACACAAGGGGGATTTCCCAATGCCCCTGAAATCCTTTCCTATAGGTGGCCCCCTCTTTCAAGTATATATTAGATTGACCTTACTTGTATTTTTTGTAGATATCATCTAAGTCAGTAATTCTCACCTCACATCTAGATCAGTAGAAGAGAAAAGAGTGGTATTCCACTGAGCAGAGACTTAGATGCAAGCATAGGTGGCGACCTCTTTTATTCGTGCAGCAGGTCTTAGGGAACGATTGGGACTGATGGGGTGGGGGAAATTTTGAATATTATCCCTCATGTGTGTCTTGGTAAGGAGAAAAAATATTTGGGAATCACTGTTCTAAAGGATGCAACCGTCTTTTGTCAACTCAGAGATATAGAAATCTCTTTCAGAATGGCAAGAGAGTGACATCTATAGTGAAAAAGGCTCTGAATTTGGCAATGTCTATGTCACCTAAAATCCCAAATTTGATACTATTTTAAGGTAATTATGGAATGATTTTTCTATGCTTTATCGACCTCATTAAAAGTTACTCTGTGGATTTCAGTGTGGTTAAAAATGCAGTTATGAAATATTTAGTAATATGCTCCACCCATTTAAGTCACAGCAAGAAAGGTTTACTGTTTGTGACCTTTCAGTAGCCAGTTACTCATTTTTGTGTTTTTCTTTGGCCAGTTTCAAGAGTGATTACTTGAATTTCTCAGCATGTCGGTGGGTTAGTGATAGAGGAATGGTGGAGAAGTGAGTCATATTTTGAGAGCTGTGCCAATCCAAGAATTACTGTCTACTCCCCGTTCCGCTCAAATCTTTTCAGTTGAGGCACTTAGTAGAATAAAAATGATGAGAGTAATCTTATCTGACAAAATCCCCCATATCACTTTCCCAACAACTTGGAACAAGGGGTGACTTAAGCTGTGGATGAAGATAGATGTATTCCTATAATCCTGAATTGAATTCACAGATTTTGAAAAGAGTGATTAAATATAATTGAATATCTGCAGAAACCTGTGTGTTTGGGGATGACGATGGCCAAGTGCAGAGAATCAGTCATAAGTTCAAAACTATCATGACTATTTACCTCTCCAATGAAGTAAATGGAATAAGGAACCCTCTTCTTAAACAGGAAGATAACCCAACTATTTTTGGTCTTTAGTAATCATTGAAATAAATAAGGTTCTCAAAATCTGACTGCCTTACAAACTCATTCTAAAGGGTTCTTTAATGCATTTACACAGTTCTGAGGCATGACATTTGCTTTGCTATTCATCACATTTGAGTGATTATTACTCTAGCAAAACAACATTACCAGAAGAATTGAGGGGAGTTGGAGATATTCAAAACAAGAAATGTAGTATGTATCAATAGCT